CTTGTTTGCTGACGGCCATGGAAGCAGTGAGAGACGCACAAAACAGTCACCCTTGGCACTCAGTTATTTCAGTCTCCCTTGTGATTACTCATAAAGAATGGCAAACTAGTGGGCTGAAACATATCACAAGCGACTGAAGCCACCCTGGGAAAAGTGGAAAGATTTAAACGATACAAGAAAATCATCAAGTAAAACGGTAGCTGAGTTCAACTGACCAGACCGATCCTTGGTCGCCGACAAGGTTTCCAAGGCACTGACGGCGGCAAGACAACTACTTTGTTAACCAGCTTCGTGCTAAAGCCCCTGCTTATCTAATCCACAAAATAATCCTGTGACTGTCAGTACCTTTGAAACCACTGCACCGCAAACAATAGTTATCGACTTGACTTCATCCATGACCCACCTCACATCTCCAATGGCCAATATCCATTTTATACCCAGAGCTTTTTACACCTCTCCTCAATCCTCACATGTATATAAAAAAGCTTTTTACCGGTTAATGTGTCCCCGTTTTTCCGAAATCATTCCTCGCCAACAGTAAAGAATAGGCACCAAAATAAATGACCTTGAATCAACCAATAAGGCGGTCGAGCATAGATGGTGTCCATTCATACATTCGTGTGGGTAGGTTATTCACAACTATCATCATTAGACCATACTCATCATTAAGTCAATCCAATATCCAATATCGTTTTTATGAGCTAGTATAAACCAATTTGATTTCTTTGTGCTCGCCTCTTGATTGTGGGGTATGGGTTCCTGATCTTCGGTAATAAGTAGATCCCATAATTGACACTGATGCAAGTTCTACTGAATGATTCTAGGTCCATATAAAAGTGTATTATAATGGTACATGGTTCACGATATCATATACAGCAACTTAGATTTTTTGTGTTGACATAATAATAATAATAATAATAATAATCACTTTATTCCACAACAATAACAATTTACAGCATGGAATTTTCAGCGTTTCTTTTACATATTGCAATGGTTTAGCTCTGTTTATAATTATATAAATATATAAAATGTTAAAATATTGATAGTTAATAGGAAAAAATAATAAAAAAATAAATAAAAATAAAAAACCCAACAAAATCATACCATTTCTAGGTCATAGTGAATAATAAATAAATAATATAACAAATAACACTTGCATTAATATGCATCATTACATTTTATAGTTTAGTTACTGATTCAAAAGTTGTAAAAGTTCTTTTCTGATATTTGTCTCTTCACACAATACTCGTGCCAAATATGGAACGGTCGAATTTTTATATTTTGTAGTACGAGCATAAATGTTTATAAAATTTCTTCTGGTCTTACCCGAAGAGATACAAGGAAACAATTGTGAATAAAGAGGATGTTCACTATCAGATAAGATAACTTTAGCTAAGTGTTTACAAGAATTCATATGCCTATTGACAACAGTGTCATTTAGTTCAGTCAAAGGGATAGCACTGACCCTACTTACAGCCCTCAATGTTCTTCGTAGTATTATATGATCTTTCTTGAGTAGCCCAGGGAAGAATAATGGAGAACAATAAAGAATGATGGGCAAAACACATGAATTAATAAATTGTATGATAAGAGATTGAGTTATACCTGAGTGTCTCAACTTCTTTATGTAATAAGTCAGACGGAAAACTTTCTTAGAAACTATAAGAATATGAGACGACCAGCAAAGATTTGACGAGAAACTAATGCCAAGATAAGAAACACTTGACTTACTCTCAATCATGGTACCATCAATATTACAACAATCATGAGATTGAATCAATCCATGCATGTCTTTTTCACTTCTCAAGCTGAAATCAACAGTGTTACATTTAGTTGGATTTAGTTTAAGACCATTTGAGCCAGACCAATCCTTAACTTCAGCTAGGAAGCCATTCATATAGGAACAATCCGATGTGGAAACTACAGGGACAGAAACGGTCAGGTCATCAGCATACTTAATGAAGTTAACTTTGGGTGAGTTCGGAAGGTCATGCAGAAAGAAAGAGAAAAGAAATGGAGAAAGTACTGCACCTTGAGGCACACCACTTTCAGTTAGCTGGGAAGTGGAGCGCTTTCCAGCCAAAACAGTATGCTGTTTCCTATCCTTAAAATAAGAAGACAGCCATCTAGTTGCCCAGGACTCTGTTTGTGCTGAAATCATCTTTCCTAATAAAAGTGTCCTAGGAACAGAGTCGAAAGCTGCAGTATAGTCTAAGAAAGCTGTTCGAACGAACTTAGCGCCCTTATCAAGGCAGGAAACAATATTGTGGTGTAGTACAATGGCTGCATCTAATGTACTTCTTCCACACTTATAAGCAAACTGCTTAGGGTCACTAAAAGCTTTTAAAGAAGGTTTAAGAATATTCAAAAGAAGTTTCTCCATAGTTTTCAAAAAAGGAGATGTTATAGCGACTGGTCTAAATTTTATACCTGCTCCAGAAGATGATTTCTGTACAGGTACAACCTTGATTTCTTTCCAGTCAGCAGGTACCGTTTCCCTCTTAAATGATGCGTTAAAGATTTGAGTAAGAGGATGACACAAGATGTCTGCACACTTTTGGAGAAGAATGCTTGGTACACCATCTGGACCAAGGCTGTGTGTTGGATTTAATGACTTCAAACATAATAGTACATCCTTTTCTTCAAAACCCTGAAAATGACCATTTTCTTGACTAGGTACATCAGGTACAACCATATTAATTTGTTTCTTGATAAATGATTTGTTTAAAGCATTAACATCAGAATAAGCATCAACGGACATTTGTTTTTTACTTGTTAGTTTATTGAAAAGTTTCCAAATGTTTGAAGGATTTTTACATGATAAAAATTTTTCATTATATAGTCTGTTCAACCTTTCTATTTCAATTTTTATAAGGGTGTTTATTTTACGGACACCAGTATTATCACAATTCTTATACAACTTCTCTTTTTGTCTTCTAAGTTTTTTCAGTTGCACAGAAGAGATTCTGTCAAATCTCGAAAACAGTGTTTCATAAGGACAGCAAATATCCAAACAAAACTTCAGATAATCGGTTATATTAGAGACAGTAGCATCCAACTTATCGTCAGTAAACAGTTCCCAGTTGGTATCATGCAACATGCTTCTTAATGCTAGAATGTTGTCATGGGAATATGAACGTTCATGTATCTTCTTTGTTAAATGACTAAACAATTTTCGTTGTAACTTGCCGTACACTTTCGGTAAAATACGAATAATGCAGTGGTCAGAATTTAGCAAAGGAGCTCTCCTTCGGGTTTCATATACATCACGGTCATTTATGAAAACCAGGTCTAGTGATTTGTCCAGACGTGTATTAAACTTGACTAGATTCTCATGACCAAGCGAAGTAAGAAAGCTGTGATCACATAAATTAAAATCACCACAGACTATAGACAACGAGTTTCCGAATGCAGGAGCAGCGAATTCAGTAAACTCATCTGCAAACATAACTATATTAGAAAGGCTACAATTGGGTGTTATGTAAATATTTGTTATGTATATATAAGAATATTTACTTAAGTGTTTTGGGCGACACCTGACGGTTATGCAATCTATATTGTCATTAGAATAATTGAAGCAAACGTGATTTGATGTAGACCAATTTGTGTTTATATATGTGGCTACCCCTCCTCCATATTTTTTCTTGGAACTATTTCTATCTTGGCGAAAAACTTTATATCCATTTATTGAAATTAGATTATCATCATAATGCTGGTGCAGCCAAGTCTCTTGTATTGCTAAAACGCCAGCATTTCGATAAACATTGGAATACATTAGGGATTGAAGGTAATCCATTTTGTTGGACAGGGATCTACAATTAGTGCTAACGAGTTCAGGAACAGTCATTTGATTAATTTGTGTACGTTTCAGTGCACGCTGCCAGCCACAGTGATGCTTTTTTCTCAATTTTTGTGGATGACACAACGCGGTAGGTTGTAATGATTTTAAAAATGCGCGATTATATATAATACGATTAGGACACATTATTGATAAATTAAAACAAAATTAAAAGAGCAAACCAAAGCAATTTTGCAAAATGTTGTAAGGTGGAATTTTTGGTAGCCCTATGTTCAAGCAGGCCGCCGTGGGATACATGGGTTTGATATATCTACGGACACTTCTATGAGGAACTGGGACTAGTTTTTACAGCATCCTAGTGACATGCACCCTGTATAAGTCAGTTTTATTACATATATGCCTTATAAATACACTTTATTCTAAATAAGTGCTACTTTTCGCCCAGAAGATTCAAGGTCGTTTGGTTATGCTATCTATTCTTTACTGTTGCCCATTCCTTTTGTTACCGTTCGTATTATCTTTAATAATACCATTTCGTTATCTTGAACCATTCGAGATGACTGAGTGGAGAGAAGGAAGTCACAATATTACCCTCGCAATAAAACAGGCCACAAACTAGAGACAAAGTTTGACCGATTTCTCATCACCTATAGTGTCCAACAAAACCCAATTAAGGAGAATGACTGGACTGGCTGAAAATAATCCGAACAACAAGAGGCATTTCTCCATAACAAAGAGGTGAGCACCGGCTTTTTAATTTGGTCTATTCCTGGCAGCTAAACAGATATTGGACATCATTAATTTGCAGGTCATTCGGAGTGGGTTTATAAAACTTCAAGGTCTCTATCACGCTACCCTCATTTCATCTATATACAGAAAATGCTGAAGTCACTGTTGAAAGACCCTGTTCTAGACCTGAAGAGGATTAACAATAATGTTTCCAAACTCATTAAAACTGAGAAGTCAGAAAAGAAATTTTTCAAAGTTCGTTCCTTTTCATTCATGTGTCTAAATATTTCAGTTGATGGTTAAAACATGGAGTGAGGATGAAGACTCTAGAAGAATTTTGGCCTTTTTAAATATCATGAAGGCCATTTCTCTGAAAGGAGAGTGCACTAGTCTTTGCATAAAGTTGATGTTCATGGCGTATGTGCGAAACTGCAAATTTGTTTTGGGCTCCAACATTGCACAAATTAACTTGATGCGTGAATGTCTGTTGGAGTTATTTGGTACTAAGTTGGACGAAGCTTACATACATGCCTTCGTTTACGTGCGCCAGCTTGCAATTACACTTCGGAAAGCATATAGTTCAAACAGTAAAGTAAGTTCATTAATTGCTTGCTAGTTTTGATGCATGATCGTTTTCACAAGCGAATTAAAAACTGTGTTCCTTCTCTCGTGCGTAATCCACATTTCAACTGATATATTTTGATTCAGAAATCTTACTGATTCATATCTTATCATCAGTGACTCAGATTTTCGATTGATGAAAACGATTTTAGTGCACGTTATTCCTTCTCTCATAGTTATCTGCATTTGTCATTCACTTTCTGTAACAGGTCACCTGAGACCTCAGATACCAGTTCTCCTGGAAGTCGGTTTCAAAATGTCATGATTCTGTAGCAGAACCAGTCCTCCACATCAATGTAGTTCCTCCTCGGTTGTTGAACTGTCTTCCTATGTCCTCTGAAATGTCCCGACGTAGCCGTGAGAAACAGAAAATACAGGCAAAGTTGAACTATCATAGTCAAAGTTACAGTAACCTTGAACAACCAGTTAGAATTCAGATACAAAAAAGTCGCATAATCTTTGAAAAATGCACTAAAATTATCGCAAACTTGATATTACACTGTATAATTTTAGCTTATGTTTTAGGAATATCTACCAGTCAATACATATTTAGTCTACAGAAAAGTCGTACCATGCGCGATATAACCATTCATCCAGATGAATGTAGGTCATAATACCCTGAGATTCATTGAGATTTCTGACGCTTCTCCAACCTACTCCTAACTCTAACCATAATCCTGAATTTAACCGTAAACCTAACCATAACTGTAGACCCTAAACCGTAATCTTTAAAGCCAAAACCCCACCTATCAGTATAGATTTGCAGAAAAAGTACCTAGTACATAATTAGAATACAGTATCTATCGTTTCCTAGTCCAAAGAGCCAGGAATGTCCTGATTTATGAAATATTTCATAGCATGCCCTGTGTCGAAACGGTTCTTGAAGGTCAACTTTGGAAGCAGCTTGACTTTGGCTATAATGTTTTAAATTCGCTGAATGGAGATTCAAGCTTTTAAGCCATTCTTCTTATAATAAACTGGTCATACCTGGAATCATACATGTGACTGTTCTTTAAACGCCTTCCGATGTCTACATATAGTCAAGAGATGGTTTCTAGTATAGATTAATACTTGTGATCCTAATGAAGGTCCTACGTATTACCCGTAAACATCTATAGCCGCGAAATGTAACTAGGCAGCAATCATCATTTACTATGATACCCAGATTAATGTATGTCTGAAACGGAGGGCATAGTGTTCGCTCGAGAACGCTGACACACGAGTGTGCAGAGCTCCTAGCTTCTTTAAGATCAACTACCCAGAACAGATTTTTCATGTACCAGCCTAAGAGCCACACGGATCTTGTGAGGGCTGATGATACTATCTAGCTGCCCAAGCGAGACCCAAACCCATGACCCATCGGCCTAAAACCAATGCTCCGGACGTAATTAATGCTGTGGTGACCAGGCCTTGTAGTTTTCTTATAAATACGGAGTTTCTCACACAATACACAAAGGCTGTTATATTTGCCACCTTCAGCATTGTTCACGCAAGCCTGGTTTAACATGTGTACTTAAAAGGTGTGAGCTGAAATACTACTCGAACGCCTAAGATGAATAAGGTTTTTGCTATATGGCTTCACTGTCTGAGCCTTAGACTTAGTTTACGTCACAAAGTGGTAGGGCTACGTTTTCCATGGTCGCCAGGTCTTTGGACTATTTCTTTCTTGCGTATTTCTAATTCATTTTCTGGTATTAAGTAGTAAACGTTTGCATTCACTTTCATAATTTTATGGAAAGGTGTCTAGCTGTATAAAGTCAATGAATATGGCCTATGTTACAGAGGGTATTAACCCGTGTCCAAACAGAGACATGTGGAATGATTGAAGTCACACAGTTGACTATACCAAAGCATTAAGAGGGGAATATCGTAAATAGCCTATTCGTAAAGTCGTTGTCTTCAGCTTGTTTTTATCTAGTTCGCCAACATTCAACAGTCCACACTTACTGTTCCAGATGTCGAACCTAAAATTGTCAGACTACTATGTAAGCATCTTAATATTCTGCTACATTATCATTAACTGCATTCGTTTTAAATCCCTCTCAAACTAACTCTACTCCTGACTTCAGTCCTGCTCTCATATCCTCATCTATTTTAGCTTTTCATTTTTAATTCTGAAGCATACAAGTTTAAAATACTGCGATTTTGTCTGTCTGTTTTTGACATAGAACTTTGCACCGATGTGCGCCAGTTCAAGTCCCCACACTCCCTTTATATAGCACACAAAGCAACAGAAGAAATGCATAATAGAGACAGTAAACAGAGGTGTGAGACAAAGGAATAGTAATAACGAAGAACAATATAGTTTCATTGGAAATTATAAGTTACAAGAAGTGGATGCATCTGCACCAGACATTGAGAACGACTTTGAACCATATCACCAATTGTTTCCAGCCTCCATTGGTTTTTACCGTCCCGAGGATGCCAACAAGTCAGGAAGTCTACACCTTTCTACGTGACTGGCTTAAACTAACTGTTGTGGATTTCATTGTCTGGTGACATGTTTTGGTTTGACCGCCGCTAGCTCTTTTCCAGCAGTTCTACTTTTTTCCGATCATTAACTCACACTATCTTAATCTACTGTGAGTCGGTGGCACAGCGGTAAGGACGCTCGCCAACCATGCACACGGTCCGGGGTTCGATCCCTGGCCACAGACGCACTCCTTTACCTCGCTAAGCCAGAAATAAAGCTGGTGAAGAGGAAAGGTTGGGCATGAGGCTGGCAACTCCATCCTGTAAAATTAAACACTGCTAAAGAAACTTCAAGCCATTAGCTTGAAGCCTTATGTCCCACTGGGAACGTGAAGGGAAAAAAATTGCGATTTTGTCGTTGTTTCGTTTTGTGTCAGCTGGTTTGCGTATGTTCACGTAGTATATTAATGTAATTACCCCCTCATATCTCATATGACTACTTCGAACTTTCTGTTAACAATAAGCTTTGAAACATTATAACTTCAGTTTATATATATATATATATATATATATATATATATATATATATATATATATATATAATTTTGGTGAGTTTATATCCCTCACTTTATGTTTCACGTAAGTAGTTCTAGTTTTAATGCAATAATTATGAGCTTCATTGTATTGTATACAATCAGTTGTAACAAATGTTATGCTTAGTTTTTTTAATTTTCACAGGAGGATATTCAGTCTGTAAATAATTGGCAGTTTGTGTACAGTCTCTATTTATGGTCTGATTTCACATCGAGATATGCAGGTAGTCATACTTTGGTACAATCGCTTATTCATCCTTTAACTCAGTTAATATATGGAACAATCAAGTAAGTAATCATATAATGACAGAGTTCATATTATGTGTACTATGCTAGATAGTTTTAGGGGCTTATGTTCAAAACTCTAGTGCTACTCAATATTCTACATTTTTTTCATCATTAATTTTACACTATGTAAATCTACTAGGTACTGTAGTAAGGTTTTTCATGTATAAAATTATGAACCATACTTGATTTGTAAGGACTTAATGTACTACTATGGAAAAGTTACTCTTACCTAATCTTCAACCTTCACTTAAAACCCTTAACGATCCCAAACAATTCGCTTATAAACACAGTAGAAGTACTTTAGATGCAATTGCAGTCTTGTACCATAACATTGTCTCCAGCTTAGACAAGGGGGCTAAATTTGTTCACTGCACCTTCCTAGATTACACATCTGCTTTCCACTCAGTACCTAGGGACATTTTGTTAAACAAGCTTGCTGAAACTCAGACTGACTGTTGGGTTATCAAATGGCCGCATTCTTATTTTTCAGGAAGAGAGCAGTACATTGTATGTCAGGAAAAGTCGTGCACTTCGTTGCTTACTGAGGCTGGTGTCCCTCAAGGCACTGTCCTTTCTCCTCTTCTTTTTTCTTTCTTCTTACATGACTTGCCTAACTCTGATGAAACAAACTTTGTTAAGTATGCCGATGATCTAACAGTTTCAACGTCTGTTAACTGCCAGCTTGACTGTGCTAAGATGAACAGCTTTCTATCAGGAATTAGCAAATGATCTTCGTGTAACGGCCTTAAACTAAATCCTTCCAAATGTTAGACTGTCAATTTCAGTTTCCGATGCAAACGAAAGTTAAATGAAGCCGTTGGTTCATATGACCTTTGCAAAATTGATGATACTGATATAGAAATCAAGTCTGAAGTTAAGTATCTTGGATTAATTCTTTCTTCTGATCTATACTGGTCTTCCTATGTCTTAGCGATTTCTAAAAGAATATTTCGTCTGACTTTTACATCAAGCAGTTGAGACACTCAGGCATAACCCAACCCCTCATCCTCTTACAGTTTGTCAACTCGTGTATTTTACCTATTCTTCTTTACTGTTCACCCTTATTCTTTCCTCGATTGCTTAAAAAAGACTATGTTATCCTTCGTAGAACTCTGAAGACTGCTAGTCAGTAGGACGAGTGGTCTCCCATTGGGCCATATCGTTGACATTGTCACTGATAGGCACTTGATGTCATGCAAAAAATTTGCTAAAGGAACTTTGTCAGACTCTGAGCACCCACTCTACACACAGCTCCAACCTTGTGTCTCCTCAGGTAAAACAAGAAGTCTTTTTAGAAGAATTTATGCACGTACGTCTAAGTATAAGAATTCCACTATACCTTATTTAGCATGCACTTTATGCGATGAAATTAGTGTCAGGCATGAACTAACTAACCTTCTTTGCACTACTAAATAAACCATCTTTTCCACCCTAACAGTACCAAACTTTATTGTTATTGTACTTCTTATACTTATAATCCTCTCAATTTTTCGTTTTTATTTATTTATTTTTTTCACAAATGTGAACATAATTTAAGCTGTGCTAGAACTGTCAATTTTGCATTTCCCCTCACTATTCTGTATCAGCACAACATTAGATCCAATAATCTAGAACATGCTAAAGTTTCCAAACTGAATCGACAATACTGTTTGCAATAAACTCACTGTTATTATTATAATATTTAATAATCTCAGTTCGTGCTTCGAATATTTTTGACTTTATATCGTAAACGTGGACGAATTCCTCTGGTTACTTTTGTTTTAATTTTTAATTTTATTTATATTTTAAGTAAATCAGATGCAATATTGTGAGAAATGCTGAGAATTCCATTCTGCACTATAAGTACTGTTTTTGGAATAAAGTAAATTATTATTATTTTTATTACCAAATTTGTCAGATCATTCACTACAGTTATATCAGAACAATATCCACAGTTGCTGTACGCCCCCCCCCCCACTTTGCAATCTGGCCATGAGTCATCAAATGAACAAGGCGAATCGACCATGTTCTGTGGTAAGACTAAGTGGGGGGGGGAACGGGGGCCGATTCAGATCTGTAAACATTAATACATCCAAATCTATATCACTTAAGTTAGATTGGATAAGTGAACTAAAATCTACCAAGCAAAAACAAACAGTTTCAGCGAGAGAGAGAGAGAGAAAAAGTGAAAAAACAAAGGATTTATTCGGAAATTTGTAAGGACAGAACAGGCGGTAAAGTTTGGTCGTAGTGATAACGCAATTAAGAAAGAATTGAATTGTCATGGTGTTGCAGTGTAAAAAACGTGGTGAATTGAAAAAGTGGAATTCAGGTGGTTTTACAGGCCTACCGCTTCACTTAGCAATAAACTTCTCTGGTTTAAAGATGATACATACTACTTTAATTGATCAGGAACTATTTATTGAATCAGAATTCTCGTTTTGCTAAGGTAAATAGCAATCTGGAAACAACCTCCGCTATTGTTATATAAGCTATAATATAGTTATGTGAAATCAAATTAAGGGTTAATGTAGTTGGATAGTCACTGTGGAAGACATGAAAAGATTAGCTGTCTTTGTTCATAGGTGCCTGCGTTTTATCTCCCGTGTGAAGTGGTTTAATAAGGTGAGCAACATTGAGGTTAGGCGTCGAGTTCTAGGTAAGGAGGGGAAATCAATCGACGCAGCTGTGAAATTACATCGACTGAGATGGTTAGAACATGTATTACGGATGCCTAGTCATCGTCAGACTGGAAAAGAGCTAGTGGAGGTCAAACAGAAACATGGCTTCACCAGTCAATGAAATCCACAACAGTTAATTTAAGCCAGCCACGTTGGAAGATGTAGACTTCCTGACTTGTTGGCATCCTCGAGATGGTAAAAACCAATGAATGGAAACAATTGGTGATATGGCTCAAAATCGTTGTCAATGGCTGGCGCAGATGCATCCATTCCTTGTGACTTATGACTTCCAATGAAACTATATTGTTCTTCGTTATTACTATTCCTTTGTCTCACACCTCTGTTTACTGTCTCTATTATGCATTTCTTCTGTTGCTTTGTGTGCTACATGAAAGGAGTGTGGGGACTTGAACTGCCGTACATCGGTGCAAAGTTCTATGTCGAAAACAGACCGACAGGATAGTCACTGGGCCTTGATCTGTTGAATCAATATCTTGTGTGTACAACAGAAGTAACTCAACATGAGTCCCTGAGGTACAGACATTTTCGTTATCAGTCGAATCAAAAGACAAGGAATAAACGCCGTATAAGAAACTTATTTCTAAAACTTTTGCTACCATCCTGACTAAGTTGTGGGTAGCAAAAAATACTTCACCCAATGAATAATACTAAGATCATTATCGGAACACCAAACTAATTATCCTAATATTGGATTAAATTGTCTAAATTCTTTTCACATATCACATCTTACCATGATAAAAAAAACTATTACCTAAACAGTAATTTCACATAAACGGCTTCATATTACCTATATTTCTTAAATGTTGTTCATTTTTAGGCTGAATAAAGGTCAGCGTTGGATACCACTTCGTTTTCATTGTATTTCTATGCTGCACAACTTAGCTGGTGTACCGATTCCATGCGAACCAAAAGCTTCAGAAGACAAACAACAATCATCGACTGATGATACCGCCCTGAAATTACCTTTAGTTGGCAGAGCTTTATCTTCAGAGACTCGTCTGTTAATACCTACCCTATCTTTATTGTTAGATGTATTCCAACTGGTTAACTTTAATCAAAGAGCTGGACGAGTTTCAAATGCTCCATTAGATTTACGCTTATTACTGCATTTCTCACCTAGTCAAAAACATGAAACTGCATCAAATGACGCTATAATAAGTTGGCTATTTGATTTGCTGGCCGAATGTATGGCTTTGCATGCAAATTCAGTTGCTTTCCCAGAATATTCACTGCCGTTCATTACTGAGGTAGGCATCTATTGTATTCATTATGTCTTTCTCAATATATATATATGTATATTGAGAAAGAAATTGCACTGACGACCAACTCGCCGCTTCTCTTTCGGGTTCCACTCGAGCAATGGCTTGTCTAGTGATGTCACTAGATGGTTTCCTCAAAGTATGGCCAGCCAATCCACCTCCACTTCTTCCTGCTTATTTGTTGCACAATCGGTTCCTCGTTATTTCGCTCCCAGAGACCTCTCACTATTGCTGACCTCCTCTAGTCATTTGATCTTGAGTACTGAGCGAAGACAGCTGTTGATGAAGGTCTGTAGTTTGTTTGAGGCGCTCTTTATGACGCGCCAAGTCTGATCCGTACAGTGAGTAGCACTGACTTCACATTGGAGTTGAAAATCCGGATCTTATTTTTGATGCTGAGTGGTGTTGACTTCCACACAGACTTGAGGGAAATAAAAGCTTGCCTCACTTTACCGTTGATCCTCGCTTTAATATCCTGATCAGTTCCGTCAGCCTATAGTCTAAACGATGCTTCCCAGGTAGGTAAAGGAGGTTGTTTCTTTCAGGTTCCTCCCATTTATGCCGATTGCTGTTGTTGTTGGTGGTGGTGGTGTTGGTCAGGAACCTTCATCACCTCTGTTTTCTCGATGTTCATCTGAAGTCTTATGTTTGATGTCTCTTCTGTTAACTTGTTTCTCTTCACTTGCATATCTTCTAGTTTGTAGGAAATCAGACATATATCTTCGGAAAAGTCCAGATCCTCCGAGTATTTTATGTGGTTCCATCTTATGTCTATTTCCTCGCTGCCCGCCGCTGTCTGTCGCATTATTCAGTCTACCGCCAACAATCAGGAAAATCATAGCAGATAGTAGGCAGTCAGCGTCGAAGGATTCCGTGATTTTCCCGTTGTGGATTATTTGTCATGCAGCATTGTCGTACGACTTCTGGACGAGTTATATAATTGTTGGCGGCACCCCGTAGTAGAGAAGTAGTTGCCAAATTACCTCTCGATCGACTCTGTCGAAGGCCTTATCAAAGTCGATGAAGCTGAGATAGAGAGGTGACTGCCATTTCAAGCTTTGTCCAATGATGATCCGTAGTGTGGTGATATATATGTATATCTATTTTTTTCTTTTACGTTCCCAGTGGGACATAGAGCTTCAAGCTAGAGCTTGGAAGTTTTAGTAGCGGTCATTTTTGTTTTCACGGCATGGGGTTGCTAGCCTCATGCCCACCCTTTGTTCTTTACCAGTCGTATCACTGCCTCATCGAGGTAAGACTGCGTCGGTCGGGGCTCGAACCGCGGACCTCATGCGTATTCGCCGAGCATTTGGCCGCTGGACTACCGACTTCTAAATATATAAGGTATTCATTGTACTTGAGCATCAGTGAACTGTACTTTAGTATATAATCATCAAAAGTAGAGGATATAAGAAAGGTCTCAAACATTTCACCAGCGTTTTCTTCGTGATATGCGTGATAGCTGTACAATCGCAAATATACATGTGTTATTTTGTATGTATGTGTCAAACAAAATTACAATTAGTTATGATTATTTTAACTAAACAGTTGAGGATTGGTAATACAAGTCAAGAAAATTAGGTGTTAATGAAATTGGGGTAGTAACAAAGGTGATGAGTTGTCACAAACAGTTGTTAAAAAAGAAGTTATGTAATAATATGAATAGTTTGATGAGTGAGTTTTACTCAGGATGCACATAGAAACAAAGTAGATAATGCGAAATTACGCAAGAGTTCTGAATGAATACAAGAATTATAGGCAATTAAAGAACAGGCAAAGAAACAAAATTAAGTCATCAAAATCGAAAAAAACTCAATCAAATCAAAACAAAAAAGTTGTTACCATGACAGTAGAAGTGGTTGAGTAATCCTCTTTTTATATGCACAGCTCCGGTTATCTATGTGAATGACCAGAGCTTCAGCGATACAAAGAAGCCGAGAACGTATTGCCTTTTTGTAGGTTATTCTTGACTCTGTAGATAACTTTGAAGGAGTAGGCGTTTGTTGAAATGGAATGATCAGTGTTAACCAGGTGTTCAATTATTGCACTCCTTATTGCACCACTATTGCCTTTTCCAACCATTCTGGATAGTGTTCTTGAATCCTCTTGGACGGGGTGCGCGTCGAATGACCGATGTACCTGGCTCCACAGCAGCAGGTGTTTGACAAACTTAATGTACACATACATACAAAATAACACATATATATTTGCGATTGCACGTAGAAAGGTGTAGACTTCCAGGCTGTGGTCCTCGGGACGGTAAAAATCTATGGTTGGAAACAATTGGTGACATGGCTCAAAACCGTTCTCAGTGGCGCAGATGCATCCACTCCCTGTGACTTATGATCTTCAATGAAACTGTTCTGTGTTTCTTTATTACTCCTTTGTCTCACACCTCTGCTCACTGTTTCTATTATGCTTTTCTTGTACTTTCTTCTCTTGCTTCGCGTGCTACACGGAATGTGGCGACTTGAACTTCCGCACATTTGTGCATAGTTCTATGTCGAAAACAGACAGATTGCACAGCTAAGAAAATGAATTCGCCGCCGAAAAGAGACTCTTCGCTGGTCTACGTGTTTTGTTTTCATTAATGCCTGGATGGGGATTATCCATGAATATTCGTAAAAACTCAAAATGCATAAGTGACAAATATCAAATTTTCTCTTTAATGGGTCACCATGAAGTTAAATGAGTTCATTAACACTTTCTTGAGCTTTTCATAAAGTATTAAGAGACTTACATAGCTAGACAATGGATTCCTTTCAAATTGAATGCTATGAAATAATTATTGAGTCTTCACATAACTCTCTGAATCTAGCTCATAGCTGTAGAGCGAAAGAATATGTACGTGATTGCTGCTAATGCCTTTTGGGATTGATGTGCGTCAGTGGCACAGTGGTTAAGACTCTCGCTGACCATGCCATGCACATGGTCTAGGGTTCGACCCCTACCGCCGCACACCTGATATCTATGGTCGGCCTGCAAAATTTGGGCTACCGATATCACATGCTGAAAATTCCATACCTGTACCAAAAAATACGCTCTGGAATCAAGCTGTAATAAAAAAAATACTAAGGATTCAGTCAGAAAGACATTCCACCTATTCTTGTTTTTATGCTAATTGGCGCTCATTAAGAAAAGGGGTATGCGCAGTCTTAAAGAAATCCATATCACTCCATTGATTCAAACCTGTCAGTCAATAAAAATAAATAAAGAATGAACATATTTGCAGAATAACACAAACTCGGCTTATTTCGTCGGTTCTCTTCAACTGCGTACATCCTAAACAAAATCAGTTATAAGTTACAAAATTTCTGAACATATTTTTTCACAATGACGTCGAGTAAAAGATAGAAAGTATAGGCGACATAACTTCAAAGATGGTGTAAGTAGACGAATTATTCAATGTTAAAAGAGTAATTGTTTATATCATAATTAGACAAGGGAGATAGAGTTCAGATTTACCTTGGAAATAAGGATGGACTAGAGATAAAATACAAGATAGAACAACGCAGTGAATTTATACGTATTATCATGGCGAAAAAGTTCAGAAGGGTGGGGGTGAATAGTGAAGTAAAATTATAAGATAGACAAAATAATTTAGTTTATTAGATTTGGAAACTTAATAATGAGTCCAACTCAGTAGGTGAAAATTAAAATTAAGTGGAATGTTGTACGCACGAACTAAACAGTTACAGGGTTTCCTCATGAGCTGACATTGGTTAGAGAACCATTGGAAAACCATCTGGGAGTACTGGACAGATGTTTCGCCCTAGTTTGGGACTCTTCATCAGTACGCACCCACCACAGGGGTTCGAACCCAGGACCTTCCAGTTACAAGGCGAGCTCGTATATCATTAAGTCACTGGGACCCCGAGCCAATGGCCAACCCATGAATTCTAACTTCTGCCAATTCACGATATAGCGCAACCGCTAGCCAATGTCTTCGGCGAGTATTTATCCTCAGCTCATGATGAAATCCTGTAACCAATCAACCAAATACCTACAAACCAATACTTGAAAAACAGTTATATTTTCCAAGGTAGTGAGAGGTTAGTCTCTCTATCTTTCTGTAAACAGAGGTTGAGTTGAAGTGTTTTGATAGCAATAGCTTCCGGGAACCGACGTAACTATGGTTTTCCTTATGTAGTGATTATTTTTATAGCCTGACTAATTTCCACGGTATTATCCAGTGTCAATTAGATGTCTGGCAATTGCACTTGAGAGTACATTTTGCTGCGGCCTTTCAAACGGAGATATACCGTGTTGTAAAGTCGACTGAGTCTGGCGGTGAAGACTGTTCTTTTCAATGCTCCCTTAATTCTTTTTTTTTCGTTCTTGTGGATACTTCCCCCACCTTTGTACGTTAGACAGATATGCCAAGCCATCGCCTCCCTCGACGAGCTATGTTAGCGGATATAGGGTCAGGCTGGAAAAAAGCTAGCGGCGGTCAAACAAAAACTTGGCACCAGTCAATGAAATCCACAACAGTTGGTCTAAGCCACGTAGGAAGGTGTAGACTTCCTGACTGGTTGGGGTCCTCGGGACGGCAAAAATCTATGGTTGGAAACAATTGGTGACATGGCTCAAAACCGTTTGCAGTGCATAGCGAAGATGCATCCACTCCTTGTGACTTATGATCTCCAATGGAACTGTTTTGTTCTTCGTTATTACTCCTCCTTTGTCTCACACCTCTGCTCACTGTTTCGATTATGCTTTTCTTGTACTTTCTTCTCTTGCTTCGCGTGCTACTTGGAGTGTGGCGACTTGAACTTCCGCACATTTGTGCGAAGTTCTATGTCGAAAACAGACAGAGAGACAGAGACAGATAGGAATTGGTTTCTTTTCAACTATATAGAAAACTGTTATGTACTCGTCGCCAAATTATTCCTATGTACTGGTCGAGAATTTAATAGTCCTGACGCAAGAAGGCGGAAATCAGAAGACCACTAGGTTTGCGATGATACTTCTATTTTCCAAACACAAGGAGAATGCAAAAGTGGTATCACACCAAAGTAGTCACACAAGATTGTGTGAGTGAAATATATATGAATGTCCAGACAAGTGTGTGAACAAATCAATAGACAGTCTTAACATGAATGGCTGATTATAATGGAGTGTCGATCCATATATACATAGCAAAATATAGCAGACATGTCAACAACCACAAATATAATATGGATATATGTCACCAAGCAACGGACTGTCAACAAACACTCATATTATATATAATATAAGAGGAATATACATTGTTAAAGGAGACAGGTTCATCAAAGCGAGCGAACAGAAAGAGAGATCACCATATATATATATATATATATATATATATGGGTACATATCAAACTATATGCTCGCACTAGCAAGTACAAAAACTCAATCATACCCTACTTAGCTCGTGAGTAAGGTAAACCCAAAGGTGAGTAAAAACCACTGGATCTCCACCGCCTCATCCGAACTGGTAGATGCTAGAAGACTTATTCCGGCGAGCTCCGAATTCAATGAGGAGCGAAAGCTGCACAAGAGGAAACTTACGAAAAGTCTCCGCAAGGACCGTGAACAGTGGTGGACGACAAAAGCGAAAGAGATGGAGAAAGCTTCGAGGATAGGCAACACCAGGCAACTCTTTAGACTCATCAGGGAAACGGGTGGGTGAAGACAAATCATCAGTGAGACAATCTCGGAAAAAAATGGCACTATAATTAGCTCACAGGATAGACGACTGGATCGTTGGAAAGAGCATTATGAGGAGCAGTTTAATTTGCCCACAGCCACGCTCAACCTTCCGAGCATCCAACACCTCCCTGAATGGGATATAGACACAGGTCCTCCATCCCTAACTGAGGTTACTAAAGCTGTCACCAATCTGAAACTAGGCAAAGCAGCGGGACCTGATGGAATGACTCCAGAGGTATTTAAGTACGGTGGAGACAGCTTACTGTCCGGATTAACTGAGGTACTAGGCAGCGTCTGGGAATCAGAAGAAGTCCCATCGGGTTGGTGTAAGTCACTGATTATCCCCATATACAAGAAGGGAGACAAGTCTTCCTGTGATAATCACAGAGGGATTAGCTTGACTAATATAGTATCTAAAGTCTTAGGCTCAATAATCATGCGTAGACTGAGTGGTGCTCGGGAAGCACAAACACGAGAGAGCCAGGCAGGCTTTAGACCAGGAAGAGGGTGTATTGATCATATCTTCACCCTCCGACAGATTCTAGAACATAGGCATTCCTACCGGCGTCCAACAGTCATTATATTTCTTGACCTAAAGGCAGCATTCGACTCTGTCGATCGGGAAGTTCTCTGGAGATGCTTGGCTGTAAAGGGAATTCCAAGAAAATATATTGCACTGATTAAGGCACTCTACTCGTACTCATACAGCCAGGTGAGGGCTTACGGCGAGCTGTCATCTGAACTGATGACGACCAGTGGTGTCCGTCAAGGATGCCCATTATCTCCTTTTCTATTCAACTTCATCATAGATTTGTTAATGGACTTAACCCTAGGTGACTTCAGCGACTCAGGGATTGACTTGCTACCGGGGAATAATCTCGTTGACTTGGAATATGCAGACGATATAGTCCTTCTAGGCGAAGACGCTGACGAAATGCAGAGTCTTCTAAACACCTTGAGCCGCAATCTACGAATGTTTGGCATGCGATTCGCTCCCGCCAAATGCAAGATGATGTTACAGGACTGGACTACATCGACGCCTAGTTTAAAAATAGGAAGTGAAGTGGTAGAGCACGTTGACCGCTTCACTTATTTGGGAAGTACCATCAGCCCCAACGGGCTGATCTCTGACGAAATCTCAGCACGAATACAAGGGGCTCGTTTCGCATTTGTTAGTTTACGCCGACTCTGGCGTAGACGAGATGTTCGACTATCGACCAAAGGGCGGGTGTACTGCTCATCAGTCCGCTCCGTCCTCCTTTATGGTTGTGAGACCTGGCCACTGAGAGTGGAAGACATGAAAAGACTAGCTGTCTTTGATCATAGGTGCCTGCGTTCTATTTCCCGTGTAAAGTGGCATAATAAGGTGAGCAACATGGAGGTTAGGCGTAGAGTTCTAGGTAAACAGGGGAAATCAATCGACGAAGTCGTGAAGCTACAAAGACTGAGATGGTTAGGACATGTGTTACGTATGCCAAGCCATCGCCTCCCTCGACGAGCTATGTTAGCGGATATAGGGTCAGGCTGGAAAAAAGCTAGCGGCGGTCAAACAAAAACTTGGCACCAGTCAATGAAATCCACAACAGTTGGTCTAAGCCACGTAGGAAGGTGTAGACTTCCTGACTGGTTGGGGTGCTCGGGACGGCAAAAATCTATGGTTGGAAACAATTGGTGACATGGCTCAAAACCGTTCTCAGTGGCGCAGATGCATCCACTCCCTGTGACTTATGATCTCCAATGGAACTGTTTTGTTCTTCGTTATTACTCCTTTGTCTCACACCTCTGCTCACTGTTTCGATTATGCTTTTCTTGTACTTTCTTCTCTTGCTTCGCGTGCTACTTGGAGTGTGGCGACTTGAACTTCCGCACATTTGTGCAAAGTTCTATGTCGAAAACAGACAGACAGACTTAGCTCGTGTTCTGTGCGACAGAGAAAGCATTAGGCATGATACCTATAACTTATTAAATAGTCAGTAGAACAACTGGATCTCGTCTTTCCAACTCATATCACTCATAGGTACAACGTTTTTCTTTCTTCCTTCTCGTTTTCTCTCTCTTTTTGTCATATGCTACTTTGTTCCTCTCTTCATTACAAACTCTATTTAAAACATTCTTCTTCGTTCTCTCACACTCTATATATCTCGACCTTTTTGTTACCGCTTACACCAGTAAATATGCTAGCACCTACTTTTCTAACACCTCCGAAAATTCTTTTGGCTTTGCTACCGACATGCCAATATGTTGTTGTCAAAATTAACTGAGACTACCCTTAGTCTATGTAGAATTTTATTTATTGTTAATATACTAACTGGGTGCAATACTGTATGTAGTGAAATGCTGAGAATTCCATTCTGTATCACAAGTACTATTTTGGAATAAAGCAAATTATTATCATTATTATTTCTGATTTAATTATTATATAAGTAGTTCCTCTCGTAACACTAAATAATTCATCTGCTTACATCATCTATGGAATTATGTTATGACTTCTCACTGTGAACAAGTTTGTTCAAAAATGTTGTATCTTATAATTGATTTCGTCTAGGATATACACAGTTGAAGAGAATCGACGAAACAAAACGAGCTTGTGTTTTCTTGAATATACGTTTGTTCTTTCTTTATTCAAAATAATAAAGGAAGCGGGTTGTATGAAACTCAATAAAAAGTTACATTTTACTAATAATTTGTTCAAAACCCGAATGACTTCTTTGTATGAATGTTAGATATTTATACCCTCTATCAGTAGGTGACAAGTCTAGTCGTTTACTTCTGTTGATGGAAATCTACCCATCCTATGTATAGTCCCGACCGAAAGCTGCTACCTTGACGTGGTGGTCGGGCTTGAACACCGCAATGACCTAATCAAGCTATACTGGCTGAGACTTATGTCTCTTGAGGTCCTACCATGCCAGGCAGGTTGTTTGGATAGCGGTTAAACAAAAAGCAGCTACCCAATCCTACATCATGTCCAATACAAAATCACAAAATGTCATGCCGGATCGGCCGTGGCCCGGATTAACAACGACCGCGCTTCCTGCTGCCGTGTCACAGGGCAGGAGTGATAAGTATGCTACTGAGGCACACCAAACAAAAGAGAACGAACAAAAACAGGCCGCGTGTGACCGGCCACAAGCAGTTGTCCCCTGGGCTCTGCGGTCACGCAACCAACTTCCACGGTGTGGGCGGCCGGGAAGTAACAATCGCCCTCGCAATCCGAAACGCACGCGAAACCTATGTATAGTGCAATCAATGGACTAAGCGACACCATTCTACGATGCACTGTAATTAGATGTTACATTTTAAAAGTTATTCAGCTCTCTCCATATGTTTGTGCGTCGGTTGCACAGCGGCTAGGATGCTTGCCGACCGTGCCCTGGTCGACTCACACCTAATATCAATGGTTGGCCTGCAAAATTTGGGCCACTGATATCACACCCTGAAAATTACATACCTGTACCAATCGACAATACGGTGTGGAATCAAGCTATAATATTTAAAGAAATAATAATTCGTGTATTTACCTATTTACCGGTGTTTTATTTTTAGGTAAAACAATTTTTACGCGTATGTCGTGTAGCCTCTTTCTGTAGACAAATGAAAGCGCTAATGTTAAAAGTACGTGAACATTCTGAATGGATTGTTAAATGCCGTAGACGTGTTCGAAATTTGACCAGTAAAAATGAAGTGGTAAGTAGTTAGCTAGTTTACTTTTAAGTTAATTTTTTTCAAATATTTATTTTTCATAATCGAATGTGTTTCTTCTCTTAGAATGTGTGTCTTTCTAGAAACAAACAATCTGTCCTAAGTCCTTGATCATTTATAAATGTATATTTTTACAGTGTAGTTACTCCTCTAAAAACACATTTTTTATGTAATAGCTTCAAGCTGGAAAAGGGCTAGCAGCGGTCAAACCAAAACATGGCTTCACCAGTCAATGAAATCCACAACAGTTAATTTAAGCCAGCCACGTTGGAAGATGTAGACTTCCTGACTTGTTGGCATCCTCGGGACGGTAAAAACCAATGGTTGGAAACAATTGGTGATATGGCTGAAAATCGTTGTCAATGGCTGGCGCAGATGCATCCATTCCTTGTGACTTATGACTTCCAATGAAACTATATTGTTCTTCGTTATTACTATTCCTTTGTCTCACACCTCTGTTTACTGTCTGTATTATGCCTTTCTTGTACTTTCTTCTCTTGCTTCACGTGCTACACGGAGTGTGGCGACTTGAACTTCCGCACATTTGTGCAAAGTTCTATGTCGAAAACAGACATGTAACAGCTCGAAAGTACTTGCATATTGAGGTGGTAAATATCTACCATTTATCTGTGGATATTCCCGCAATTAACTGAGAACACAGTGTTATCCTCAGTGAGAGTGGTAATGTTAGGCAAAGGAGAGCATACCTTTTCACAGTGACCTTAAGTTACAGTTAGAAAGTATAGGCAACGTAATTCCAAAGATGATGTCTACGAGATCTCTTTGTAAACAGAAGGTCCTGGTTTCGAACCCCTGCATACTGACAAAGAGTGCCAAACTAGGACGAAACAGCTGTCCAGTACTCCCTGAAATTTTTCCAATGGTTCTCTGACCGATGTCATCTCATCATGAAATCCTCCAACTAATCAAAGGAGAATAAACATAATACTCCCATATTGGGTCATAAGGAAAAGGCGCAAAAAGCGAAGATTTTCTTTTTGATAGTTCCTTCTCATGAGCTGTACAATCGTAATTATGTTAAACAAAGAAATCTTTAGAACAATCAGATATTGGTAAACTTTGTCCTCGAAAAATGTATTACGCAATGTAAGGTGTAACCCAGAAGGGATAACTAATTGTAAGTTAGAAAACAGACAAAAGTTGGCATGACGTAATAAGTGTGAGATAAGGACTAATCAATAAGCTCGTGTAGAATGGACAGGAACTAGTGGAAAGGCGACAAAGTGTTTCTATGTAAAATGCATATGAAAACGCAATGTTATTAATAAACAGTAATACAGTGATAATAAAATATAGATGATGGGAATAATAATGATAATAAGATAATAGTAATAATAACAATATTATTAGTGAACTTATATAATAACAAATAGAACAGGCAAACTTATAGTAAGAACTTTACTCTGACCACGGTAGGGCGAGAGAATGTATGTATTGCTTTTGAATGCAGAGGTCCGGTTTCACATGTCGAACAGCTAATGTTTCAGCTATGTACAGAGAGTGTACGCGAAGTTCCTTTGTACAATAATGAGGGAAACTGTATAGCACTGGGAGGCATTCATGCGGGTGATCGATGTCCGGAGATGACAAGGTGTTCGTGGATAGAGCTACTGCTATTCTTCTTTTATCCTCTGGCTAACCATGTTGGACTGTGTTTCTGGACTTGACGTTGCATACGGCTGATATACTTTGCTCCACACGATCAAATAAACTGATAAATACACACTAAAGTGTCCAAATACGGTATCTTATCCTTAACGTTAGACCGGATTAACTGCCTGCTGGAGAATGTGATACGTAAGGTGACTGTTGGAAATATCTTCTTCAGGCATTTAGAAAGGCGGTTTCTGAGAATTTCTGGTGCGATGTCACCTTTGAATTCCAGGTTCATGAAGAGAGTTTTTTTTGGGAACAGTTGCGATGTTTGGCGATGGACGCTTCTCTTTCATGTTTTTGTCTATGAATCTTGGTGGATACCCGTTGTCTAGTAGGATTTCACGTAATAAATTTAATTCTTTCTCTATCATGTCTTCTGAACAGATTTTTCATCAGGAGAATAAAATTGAGAAAAAAGCTAAGAGTATGAGGGATTCCTGAATTCATTCGGTATCCACTCTACTTTATTGTGATTAAGATATATGACAATTTGAACGGATGATCTTCTATGCAGTATCCTGTTTTTAGTGTCTGTCTGTTTTCGACATAGAACTTTGCACCGATGTGCACCAGTTCGATTCGCCACACTCCCTTCATGTAGCACACAAAGCAAGAGAAGAAAGTAAAAGAAATGCATAATAGAGACAGTAGACAGAGGTGTGAGACAAAGGAATAGTAATGACGAAGAACAATATAGTTTCATTGGAAATCATAAGTCACAAAGAGTGGATGCATCTGCGCCAGCCATTAAGAACGAAGATTTTGAGCCATATCACCGATTGGCTCCAGTGACCACTAGTTTTTACCGTCCCGACGACCCCAACCAGTGAGGAAGTCTACACCCTTCTACGTGGCTGGCTTAAATTAACTGTTGTAGATTTCATTGACTGGTGAAGCCATGTTTTGGTTTGACCGCTGCTAGCTCTTTTCCAGCCTGACCAATCCTATGTCAGCTAACATTGCCCGTCGAGTGTATTTATAGTGTGTTCATATATTCCTCATAGATTGGTACTATTTCCAGTGTTATAGTTCTGTCTTCTCTAACAAGATTTGTACATTCTTAATTATAATCGTTTACACTATATTTTTCTCGTTTTATTTTTGGTTTTTTCTAGTTAAATGTAGAGTCGACTTGTACTCTTTTCGATAATACAAACAAACTGTTACCATTTTGGCAGTTCTACTTACAGCATAAACAAATTCGATCTACAGAATTGAATCGACTAACTGAAAGCAATAAAAAGGAGGTAAGAGTTCTATTATGGTGAAAATTTATTTTGATAAAGTCACACAATGTGATACAGTAAGTAAATGACTACGTTTCGAGTACAATTTATCGCCGATAATAATCATATCAAGGCACTAGTCATACAACATTCTAACTTCATTTATATAATTCAGTTACAGCGAATAAAATTTTCTTTTCGATAAAGTCATCAACTAGATGATAGCTGTACATTCGTGTATTTACAATAAATGAGTAGCAAAGTTCCAGAATAATTTCTGATCAAGGGTCAGATTAACAGAATTACAATTAGGAAGTAAAATGCCATAATAAACAGGGGGACGAATAAAGCTCAAACAAAGTAGCATCATAATTACTAAGAAGATTGACATGTAGTGCAATTAGGGGTTAGCAGTGTAGAAATAACAACAATAGACAGGATATTTGGATAAAAAATCTAACGGGATCATGACTAATGTGACGAATAACTGTTTATGCAATCAGGGATTAAATATGTAGAAATAATAAAATGACAAAATAGACTGGAACTTCGGATATGAAGATGTGGTAGTGTAAATAGGGATTAAGAAAAACTTAAAAATAACATGAATAAACAGAAAGTTTGGATAAGAAAGTCAATGGGATAGTCATTATTAGAAGAATTACCTGTTTATGATAGCCATGGCAGGGACAAGGGTTGAACGTATTTCTTTTGGATACATAGTGTGGGTTTGAATTTTTGGATGGCTACGCACAGATGTCTTAATTTTACTCCCTTTGATAGGTTTGATCGAATAATTCTATCAGTTCTCATCTCGTGATTTCATTGGTAGTAATATTTTTCATATCTCTGGCATCGGTGATGTGTCATTCCTATTGCATGTGTGTTGGTTGTAGACTCGATGAACAAAAATTCAGTAATCAACCTATCTGTTCACCTACTTATATTGCTTTTTCAAATTTTAACTCTATCCCACCCTTTTGTGTAGTTGTATGTTAATTTTTTTCCTTCACGTTCCCCAGTGGAACATAGGCTTAAAGCTAGTGGCTTGAAGTTTCTGTAGCAGTATTTATTTTACAGGATGGGGTTGCTAGCCTCATACCCAATCTTTCCTCTTTACCAGCATTATTTCTGGCTTAGCGAGGTAAAGGAGTGTGTTGGCCGGGGATCGAACCCCGGACCATATGCATGGTCGGCGAGCGTCCTAACCGCTATGCCACCGACGCACAAGTTTTGTGTTAATGCATGCAGTGAAAATAAAGTATAATTATATTTTAATAGTTTACACACAATGATAAGTTTTGTTATTGGTAATATTTCGAGCAAAATTACTGCCCGTGTTCACACTACTGTTGGAATTGAAATTTCTGAGTTCTCTTCTAAATTACTTATCTTTGCAAAGTCAGTCATTCAAAGCCAAACCTTAGTTAAATTCTTGTATGTTCTGACAATCTGACTACCCCCCGGTCTACTGGTTTGACTGACCTATATAGAGTTGACTTAACTTACAGTCATTGCAAGGCATTTTGTTAATTATGTAATGTTGTTGTCTAATTGGGTCAATAGGGAGAGGGCCCTTTAACCTACAGAGCTTATCCTACCTGAGTGAATTTTGCAGGTTTAAATGCCGTGCTATTAAAATAAATTTCCTCCTTAAATGGAATTATATACTCTACCACATTGACCAAGTTCTATTCTTTTATACCAAGGAAGTAAGTGATTTTATTATAGTTCTATCCCTATGGGATTATCCTGCTATTGGCTGAAACTTCCTTTCATCCATACAACATAGTTGTTGGTTGTTTATCCTTGAAGACTAGAAGAAGACCTTTTGTATATATAGATGCTTTGGTATTACATCGTAGATATGATAGAGAAGATTTGTAACTCAGGTGGGTGATTTTGATGTGGTTGTGTTCTCTGACCTGGATGTTTAGTTCGCGAAGCTTTCATCACCCTACTAGGCGACGCCTTCAGTGCATACTTCAATTTCTTGAAGTGAGCTTTTAGATTTCTCCACGAGTTTATTAATCATCTCTCCTGGTGGGTAGCTTTGGACGTTGTCATTGGTTGTTTATGTGTGTTTTCACACCTTCTAGATTACTTGTGGTATTGGAACTGATTACTTCTTTGACTTGAACTTTGACCCTTTGTGTGTGAGGTTTCTTCTTATCGCTTGATAAATTTTGTCTATCTCGATGTGTCTATTGATTGACGATTGACTGGAAAGCCACGCGGGCTTCTAGAAATTCTCTAGCATTCTTGTTGTTTCCTCTGTCTAGTATTTGAACGTTGTCCCAGTTGAATTGATTGATCTCCGTGGTTTCTGTATGTAGTGATATGAGCGAGGGAGTGTATATCATGTCTTTTGACGGCTAGCTTATGTTCGTGGATACGAAGACGAAGGGAACGTCCACTTTGGCCAATGTAGTGTTTTCCGCAGTTATTACAATTTATTTTGTAGATGATGTTGGTTTTATCTTCGTTCGCTATTGAGTCTTTTGGTTGACATAGAATTGAGTGAAGTGACTTTGTTGGTTTGTGTACAACGTCAATTCCTTAAGGTTTGAAGAGTCTTGTAGTGATTTCTGAGATATCCTTTCTGTCTCTGTCTGTCTGTTTTCGACATGGAACTTTGCACAAATGTGTGACAGTTCAAGTCGCCACATTCCGTGTAGCACGTGAAGTGAGATATCCTTTATATATGGTAAGGCTATTTTCTTTGTGCTTTCCTTGGGGGCCTTTGGTTTGATAGGTTGGCTTGGGGGTATATGTCTTTTGATGAAGTCCCGTGGATATCCATTCTTTTGGAAGACTTCCATGAGATATTTTTCTTCAATTTTCCTTAAGATGGGAGTGCTGCAATGAGTCCTAGTGGGGTGATGAAAGCTTCGCAAATTAACCATCCAGCTCAGAGAACACAACCACATCAAAATATTACATCGTATCAAGGTATGCTATTGGTAGTGATGTCCATAGTTTACAATGTTCACTGCAGACCTGTTAGTAAAAACCTAATCTTACAAGCTAACAGCACAATCTCTATTGATTATAAGTCTATTTGTAATGACTGTTCACCACACAAACAAACAGAGACAGTTTTCATTGTTCCTCCAAAATATCACTATAATTAAAACTTACCACCAAGTGTAAATAACCATTACAAAAAGAGGTATAGTAATAACAGCTTGGTCCACTCCTATATACAGAAGGTTTTCAGATACATTAAAATTATCATTAAGTGCAATTAAAATCGATATTTACTAATTAGTAAATGACTTGATGAAACCACTACTGGAGAAGGTGTGGAAAGAGGGTAAGGTACCTGCGGACTGGAAGAAAGGCTACCTATTCAAGCCGCCAAATAAAGGGAACTTAAGTCAATGCAAGGACTAGTGTAGCATGATGCTCCTGTCCATCCCAAGCAAAATACTAAGCCGCATCATCCTGAAGAGAATCAAACAAGCCCTAGATGAAAAACTTCGACCGAAACAGGCTGGATTCAAGAGGAACAAATCATGCATCGATCAAATCTCAACACTACGGATGGAATGGCAGTCACCCCTCTATCTCATCTTCATCCACTTTGGAAAGGCCTTCGGCAGCGCAGCATCGATCAAGAGGTGATTTGGCAACTACTTCGCTACTACAGGGTGCTGACGACAATTATACATCTCATCCAACAGTTGTAGGACAATGCTGCATGCCAAGTAATCCACAACGGGAAACTCACGGAATCCTTCGAAGTGAGGACGGGAATGAGGCAAGGCTGTCTACTGTCGCCAACGATTTTCCTGATTGCAGTAGATTGGATAATGCGACAGACAACGAGCAATGAGGAAACAGGCATAAATTGGACTCACACAAAAAACTTGGAGGATCTGGACTTCGCCGATGATATATGTCTGACTTCCCACAAACTGGGAGATATGCAAGTGAAAAGCAACAAGTTGGTCGAAGAAGCATCCAGAGAAGATGGGACGTTCTTCAGGTGAACATAGAGAAAACAGAGGTGATGAAGATCCCTGGCCAACAGCAACCACAACAATTAGCATAAATGGGCGGAAACTAAACGAAGCAACCTCCTTTACCTACCTACCTGGGAGGCATCGTTTCGACTACAGGTGGACGGAACTGATGTGGATATCAGAGCGAGGACCATCGGGAAAGTAAGGCAAGCTTTCATTAATATATGTGTAAAACTTGGGCACTGTGGTAGTAAGTAATTCCATATTAGTTTGTTTGAAACCTGTGTGCTGACTACCTCAGCTTCATTTGATGAAGATGTCGTTAAACCGTGTTATCTTGTACATAACTGTCCATTGAGCAAAGTCATTTAGCTCATGTCTTCTCGTCTCATTTCAAATCACCACATTGGTATTAGTTAGACAGATAGTGCTTCTCTCAATCAACAATGTAATTTGGCTGTTCAAATCCTCCTGTCAGCAGCAGCACTCAGACTAGTCACTCTCTGTTTAAATTGTACATTTAAACCAATCAGCCTGATGTAGTATATGCATTGTAAACCAGTTTGACAGTAATTACTGGTATCCTAGACTATGATCTATGTCTTTTGTGTAACAGTGGGGGATATTGTCTAACTGTTTGAACGTCGGTTGTTGGAACAGGTTCGAGATCGTCAAATGAGAGACTAAGTCAGTTAACCGCAACTCATGTATTGCTCAACACAGTCTATTTTTTTCTTCCTTCACGTTCCCAGTGGAACATAAGGCTTCAAGCTAGTGGCTTGAAGTTTCTGTAGCAGCGTTTATTTTAACACGATGGGGTCGCTAGCTTCATGCCCAACCTTTCCACTTTACCAGCTTTATTTCTAGCTTAGTAAGGTAAAGGAGTACGTCTGTGGCCGGGGATCGAACCCCGGGCCATATGCATGGTCGGCGAGCGTCCTAACCGCTATGCCACCGACACACCAACACAGTCTATCATTGTGTATTAATGTATACGAGTTTACTAATGTACTCAGTGAATCGTTTGTTTGCTAATTTTTTTTTACTTTTCTCAAAAACTGTGTGTTTATCGTTGGGCTTTTCTTTGTTTTTGATTACTTTTTGTTTATTTTTTCCCCTATAGCCCATACCAACTGACACAACAACTACAGAGTATGATTCAATGAAAACCAAATCTGAATCTGAAGATTCAGATTCAGACCATAGTGATTCCTCTTATGATATTGATGATGGACGAACAGTTACACATGTGTCGAAATCAAAGGGTAAAAAGAAAGCAGCTAAAAAGGATGGTCAAGTTGGTGGTGGTATAAGTGGTGATGACAAAGCTGGACAAGATGAAAGTGAAGAGAGTGATTTCGATCTAGAAGCTGCTTTAATGGATGAAGATGATAATGATAATAAAAGTGAGATTACAGGAGCTCCAGATGAACTATCAGAATTCGAGTTAGAAGGTGATTCCAGTGATGATGAGAAGGACTCATTTACTACAGATTTTGATGATGATGATGATGTTAATGAAGATTCTGATGTTGAAATGACTGATCTAACTAAATCTTCTAAGCCGTCTGTTAATCGAAAAAAGAAAACGTCAGGAATGGTTAAGAAGAATAAGAAAAAAGTGAAAACAAACAAGCATGTTGTACCTAAGAAACCGATTCCTAAAGGGAAACACGTGAGCGCTACATCGAAATCCCAACAGCCTGTGATTAAACATTCAGATTCAACGAAAACACAAAGCCTAGTCAAGGATAAAAAGAAGAAAGCTAAGAAAAGGCCTATTGTTGACAAATAAATTGTGAAATTTTGCATATATATACATATACATATATATATAAATTCTTACATTTTCGGTTCTCTTCACTTTTATCGTCTGACATTTGTAAATGAAAATATTTGCATCTCAAAACAAAACGGACGAGAAATAGTCTGAGAGGATGTTTTTTAGTTTAAAAAAAAGACGTTGCGAACACTTCATTGTAGTTAAAGAAGTGCACATATGAACATCAACTAGCATATTATAATTACCTTCCATATATCACACAGAAGTCGTGACCAGTAGGGTGCACCAGGTCGGGTGTGAGGACAAATACTTGCCGAAGACATTGGCTAGCGGTTGCGCTATATCGTGAATTGGCAGAAGTTAGAATTCATGGGTTGGCCATTGGCTCGGGTCCCAGTGGCTTAATGGTATACGAGCTCGCCTTGTAACCGGAAAGTCCTGGGTTCCAACTGTGGCGGTGGGTGCGCAGGGATGAAGAGTCCCAAACCACGACGAAACAGCTATCCAGTACTCCCAGGTTTTCCAATGGTTCTCTAACTGATGTCAGCTGATGATGAAATGCTGTATCGCACAGTGTAACAGTATTATTTGCTGGATGACTTTTTGACCACAATATATCGTTCATAATCATATCATCAATTATAACCACACAGTTTCGGAACTCGGATTCTTAGTGTTATTTATTCCTCCCCGTTCTTCATAAGGATATTAGAATCGTCTGTCTGTCTGGATTCAACATAGAACTTGGCACCGAAGTGCAGCAGTTCGAGTTGCCACCTTCCAAATAGCACACAGAGGTAGACAAGAAGATGAGTGAAGAGAATCAATAGAGTTTGACAAGTATAAGAGTGAAACAGAATGGGTAATGGTAGAAAGGAATATGAAAGATTACAGAGACTGAATACATCTGCGCTGGCCATTGACAACGATTTTGAGCCATGTCACCTATTGTCTCCAGCCATTGATTCCTAGAGTCCCGAGGGCCCCAACCCGGGAGTCTGCATCTCCCTACCTGACTCAGTTTAACTGTCAAGGATTTCATGGATTGATGCCATGTTTTTGTTTGGCCACCACTGGCTCTTTTCCAATCTGAACCTATATCAGCTAGCAATGCCCGTCGGGGGAGGCGGTGGTTAGGCATGCGCAGCACGTGACCTAGTCATTTTAGTCTATGTAACTTTATAGCCTCGTCGATTGATTTTCCCTCTCTGCCCAACACTCTACGCCTAACGTCAGCACTACCTTAGAATCTTCTAGACGCTAGGGACAGGTGTTGAATCATTCTCGTTGCAAGTATTTCCAGATGATTCGACAAATAAAACTTCCGTTATGAATCTCTCCCTCCAACCTGTCGCTCTGTTCCACCCTGTTGTATGGTTGCGTATAATTGCATGTAGTGCTATAGCTGAGCTATTTTCTAAATTTCTAGATCTTATTAGGGTCAGTTGATCTCGATTTTTGCTAGGTTTTTGTGCTCCATTAATCTGAATGACCCAGTTCTTTTACTTGAATCTAACAATAAATGTAGGGTACTAGATAAAATAAGTTGTTTTGTTTAATCGGTTCCACAAGGTCCTTTAATCGATGAAGCTTATTTCTAATTGAGTTTGTGGGTGGTTTGAATCGCTTTTTTATTCCTGGATTGTTAAGAATTCTACTTGAGGTTTCGGAGGCTCCTTTTCTGTATGGGAGGACTACTGATGTTTGAAATTCCCTATCGTTTGTGTTATCGTCTTTCTGTGTATTGTTGTCTTGCATCTCCTCCTTATTTCCATTAATTTCATTTCCGTACATAATTCCTGATTGATATGTCAAGCTAATTATTAAATTTCAAAGCTCCTCTTATATGTCTCACTTCCTGGCTTAGATATTCTTTGGTACTATTTAGTTTTCTGCCATATTACCTAAACATTTCACCAATCCTATTGTTGCTGACACAGTGTGGGATGCACCGAAACCCAAATATCGGTCTGAATGTGTGGGTTTTCTATACGCGCTAGTGTTCAACTTCTCATTTTCTTTTTATGCTACAAACATTAGGAGCTCCTCTTCATGACTTTTCGATCTATAAGTGATTCACAATGCCTCTACTTCTGAATTGACGTGTCCCAAAAATCTATTTATATCTTGTGCCTTTAAGACTGTGAATGTGTCGTCTACATACCTCCACCATTCTTTGTGAGAGACTGGATGTTTCAATCACAGAGTCTCTTCATTTATCCATAAATATATCTGCCACTTTTAGGGATATAGGTCATCTCCTGGGAACTCTCTCAGTTTGTTTGTATATTTCGCCTTATCATTTAAATACTATAGAAGTCAAGTATAGCTGCACTCCTAGCACGATGTCTTTTTGTAGCACACTGCTCCTAAGTTCGGGTTCTCGGTCAGAAATGAGTTCGTTCCCGACCACCTCCATAGCCTACATTTATCCGGATTCATGTATGTACACTGATGTTAATGCTATCTAATTTTAGACTGTCTAACCTCTGTTTTAATTTATAAGACGTAGTTTGTCTAAATTTTAAGCAGCTTTCAACTGGATTTGATAGCATGGCTGAATATTTGGAATTCCTGAAATTAACTATGGATCTAATGGAGTAGCCTGAATTATGAACTTTAACATCACCATATATCCTACTGGGATAATTATTTTCGGGCATCAAAACAAACCGTCTAGACTCACCTGGAAACGGCCTCTTTCGGCATATGAGATGCGCTGTGGATTTCTTAACTTTTTTACATCTATTGATCTCTTAATTACTTCATACGACCCTGCTCGCGTGTGAGCATTAGTTAGTTATCGATTAGTGCAACCGACACGCTTCAGGGTGATAATTGGTGTTAGAAAACAAGTCATTACAAATAGCCAGTGTTTCTCTACTCTAAGTCGGATTGTTAACGTTTTTAATGGTTCGACAGATCTGGTAACATCTCACGGTTATTCGACATAGGTAACATCGCTACTCAGTCACCTGTATGCATAACAGTATATGATTTCTGTCTGTCTGTTTTCGACATAGAACTTTGCACAAATGTGCGGAAGTTCAAGCCGCCACATTCCGAGTAGCACGCGAAGCAAGAGAAGAAAGTACAAGAAAAGCATAATAGAAACAGTGAGCAGAGGTGTGAGACAAAGGAGTAATAAAGAAAAACAAAACAGTTTCATTGAAGATCATAAGTCACAGGGAGTGGATGCATCTGCGCCACTGCAAACGGTTTTGAGCCATGTCACCAATTGTTTCCAACCATAGATTTTTGCCGTCCCGAGGACCCCAACCAGTCAGGAAGTCTACACCTTCCTACGTGGCTTAGACCAACTGTTGTGGATTTCATTGACTGGTGCCAAGTTTTTGTTTGACCGCCGCTACCTTTTTTCCAGCCTGACCCTATATCCGCTAACATAGCTCGTCGAGGGAGGCGATGGCTTGGCATACGTAACACATGTCCTAACCATCTCAGTCTTTGTAGCTTCACGACTTCGTCGATTGATTTCCCCTGTTTACCTAGAACTCTGCGCCTAACCTCCATGTTGCTCACCTTATTATGCCACTTTACACGGGAAATAGAACGCAGGCACCTATGATGAAAGACAGCTAGTCTTTTCATGTCTTCCACTCTCAATGGCCAGGTCTCACAACCATAAAGGAGGACGGAGCGGACTGATGAGCAGTACACCCGCCCTTTGGTCGATAGTCGAACATCTCGTCTACGCCAGAGTCGGCGTAAACTAACAAATGCGAAACGAGCCCCTTGTATTCGTGCTGAGATTTCGTCAGAGATCAGCCCGTTGGGGCTGATGGTACTTCCCAGATAAGTGAAGCGGTCAACGTGCTCTACCACTTCACTTCCTATTTTTAAACTAGGCGTCGATGTAGTCCAGTCCTGTAACATCATCTTGCATTTGGCGGGAGTATATGATTTCACTGTGTTTCATATTCGAGGGAACGTGAACTACGCAATGACATCAAACCTGAACATCTATGAATGGGTAATTACAAGCTCAAAGTGTTCCCACTAAAACATTGAGCTCCACAATCAAAAGAGCTTTCAGTAAACATCCACTGTATATGATAAACTTAAGCAGATCATGTTTTGGCGACCAACCACCCAAAGCGGCCATTCAGACTTCCAATAGGCTGTCATCCGAAAACTTAATTTTCAAGTACAGAGAAGTGGCGCAGAATGGACCTGGTCAGCTTGGGCACGGGGAGCGAAATCCATACCCGCACATATCAGGACCACGGTAAACACATTAAGACGTCGACAACTGGTACAACGACGAGACACCACTAAGCAAACCAAACGACCTTTGAACAATCTATCTCCACGATGAATGACGAAAACAAACATGCACAATGTGATGATCCAGCCGGGGCTTCCATACTATACTACGACTTCTGCATAAGGACAATCTCCTACGTTAACCAAAGTGGAAACTTCGAGGTGGTACGAGCCTGACAACCAGTTTCCATAATGTTAAGTAACCAAACGCGTTCTTCGCACTCCATGGCTTACTGAAACTTATGTATTGCACTGCCCAAATACATGTCGCTCACTTGCGAAATGATGAGTGTCTCCTACTGAAAAAGCTAGCAGTTACGTCCATAGTCTTGTATTCAGGAAAAAGAGGACAGTGAAACGCTCATATTAACTTCAATCGACGTAGTACTGCCCACAAGCTTCATTGAGTGAAATCACAATACAAAATTCGCTCTTACTGACCAGTCAGAAAGTCAACGCGTTAGCACCGTAATAACTAAGTAGCACTGAACCCGTTAAGCTAAGAAGTCAGTGAACATAGTGTGAATAACTACACGTATGAGGGACACTATTAGATGTAAACACAATAAGCACACCAATCAAACAATTTATTGAATACAATGATCATACGAATTACAGTGCGCACATATACTTTTGGTGCATTTCTGATTGCCTGCTGCAAGTCACGTTCAATTCACTGGTAACATGCATACATCACGTAATTGTCCATAATGTACTAAAAGCAGAAG